TGTCTATAGAGACATAATGGCATTTTCACTCGATAGGATTAAACATAGGCTCACTGTTAGTCCAGTGTCTTTCACCTTATTTCACAACTTCTGTCCTGGTTAAGTTGCAGTGTTGATGCAACCTTATAATGCCTTTTATTTCTGGAAATGTTGTTTCTATAGCCCTGAAAGGTCACCAGTTCACCACTTCTGCTACACTGAAATTTAACTGATCTGTTCCTTAATACCACCTGTTTTCCTGGAATTTTCTTTCAAATAAAGGAAGATTACTGATTCTCCATTGCTTCTGCATTTAAAAATTAGGATGTATCTAACAACTTATGGCACAAAAACATTAACCCAAAATTAAGAGCAATAGCATATAGGAGGAGTTGTCAAAGCACTATACTCCAGTTTTCTTACCAAGTGAATGCCATTTGCCATTTCTCTCTTGTAGGTGTCAGTGGTGCTTCCATGGATTCGGCTCTTCAGCAGTGCTGAGTGTTGACAAAATTTCTCGTTGATGGATTGATCGTAGCACTATCTCTTGATTATTCTGAAACATGTGGTTTATGTATGCAGCCATTATGTTGGTGTGCTTTGACAACCAGGATCATTATTTGCAGGATGGATTTCAGAATTTTCACTTCTAGTGTAAATATAAAAATTTGAAGATGACTTCCATATCTAGTGCACTTTATATATAGCATGAACTATCTCCTGAATACGGTGTAACTGGTAAATTAATTTCTGGCATGTAGTTGCTGATGCACTATCACTGCATGTTTTTGCTGCGGAGGCAAGTTCTGTTCTCTAATATTGCTGTGTGTATGTGTGATGCTCCAGCATGCAAATAACGCGTGTGAAGTTTCAAAATACGCACTCACTGCAATATTGATTGATCTTTGATGATATGTATACTTGTCACTGCATTTTTTTTTTGTTGTTGTTTTTACTTCTATTCCAGGCCAAATCGGCTATTTATATAGCAGAGAACACAAGTATATATATATATCATCAAAGATTAATCAAAATACGCACGATTACAAAGCTCAATACATTTAATTCCAGCTCTCGACAAACACGCAGCGCCTAATAGCGAGTAATCCTTCTGTCCCAACATATAAGCATTTTTAGCTATAAATATAGACACATGCATTTTGGGACGGAGGGAGTACTAACTACTAAATAATGTCTCCTACGTACCCATCGATTTCATGAGAGCTTCACCAGCAGATGTCTTGTCCTGCTGTCCACTTCAATCGTTTGATCCTCGTTAAGCAGAAAACAGCAAGTATGTGTGGTGCTCTGATGTGGTACAAAGAAATTTGGGGTATGCTATCGTTAATTAAATGTGCGTTTCACTCAAATACCACTTCACAAAATGGATTTGATAAAATGTCATTCTTGATCAGAACATCTACGATGGATTAATGTCATCCCGGGCAAAATTGCCGTTGGGCTCCTCTTCTTCCTCCCTCCCGTGCCAATGCGTTTACCGACGACCACCACACGTCATGTCTGAGCATCACCAAGCCTAAGTCATAGAGGTTCCATCTTGTAGAGGCCATCCAAGATTTGGCATCCGCAAGACCGGGTTTGACCAGAGAGCGCCGGTGCAAGCGGGACTATAAGTGGGTTCACGGGCCTGCCCGCTTGCATCCCTACTAAGAGAACGAAGAAGAGATTGGCAGAGTGATGATGGAGATCAGCTTGACGCGACAGGATCCATTGCTGACCTCGTGCTCTAGCCGCTGCAAGAAGAGTGGCACTAGTAGGAGGCAGAAGACTCCAAGGGTAATTTTGTCCGAGATGGCATCATCCCAAATTTATCATCTGTCATTTTTGGGTATATAACTGGAGAAATTGTATGGTCTGTTCCTTAAGAGTATCAAAATTTGAACTAATTTTGATACCTATCGGCTATCTGAGATAATGTAGTACCTCTATCTGATACCCACCGTAAAATCACTCATATTACTCAATCCATGTAAGTTTGATTCCTGATGCTCATAGAATTTTATGAATATGTATCTTATTCTTAGCGTTCGTGTGTTCGTCATGTTAAAGAAGGCATGCTCAGCCTGCCTGCACGTACGTATGTTCTCGTATGTGCGTGTCTTTTACATCCGAAAGGAAAAAAAGAGTATCATAAAGTCGATTGTACATTCGTAGAGGACAACAGGCAAGTACTTGACACGAGAAAAAGAAACAACTTTCGGCGGTTGGCGATCTGGTTTTTCTAGTTAGCAAAAACAAGTGATTCCTTCCAAACATGCCATCTGTGTACACCACAAACCTTCTTTGAAGGCGATGCCATGATGTCCCTTCCAGTGGCGGACCCAGAAAAATTGTACTGGGTATGCCCATTCTAGCAATCACTCCACCACATATCCTTTTAAAAGAAAACACCCAATTACAATGAAAGAATTTGGCAGATTTTAGTCGAATTTTTCAAAATTCTATTCAAATGTGGTCCATAATTCATGAAAAATCTATAAAATTTAGAACAATCAATCCCATGTCCTAATCTATCTAGCTATTCTTCCCCTCCCCCCACCCCCAATCATTTCTCTTCATCTAGTACTTTCCTCTTCCCCTGATTTGATTTCTTGACGATTAAGATCTCCAGACAAACAATGATCATTGTTATATTCTATTTTTTGAGAGGATTCCATTTTTATGTCCTTTGATTGCATACTACATCCTAGTATTTTTCTAAAAAAATTGGGTATGTCGGTGCCTACCCGGCACACCCCCTAGGTTCGCCCCTAGTCCCTTCAGTTATCCGTACCATAGGGTGGACTTTTTTGGGTAAAAGGCAAGTGATGTGACATTCAAGATGTCGCAACTGTTTTGAAGACATCGCATTGGAGGTTCCTTGTTGGTGCGCTATCCTTGCTGCGGTGTCCCTATTAGAATGAGTTCATTTGGTAGTAGTAAGCTATGGACTAATAACATATTTACAGGTCCGCTAATATACGATGTTTTCTTCTACTTTGGTTTGACTCCATTCACCAACGACGATGGGAGCATAATTCGATTGAAAGGATTGATCGCTGGTTTTGGAGATAATACTTTTTCTGGTTTAACTTGAGGAAGATAAGAACTACCACTGGTGGAGAAACCATCTTTGGTCGGTCGACCCAAATCCACAATAGTCCCGGTTCCATTAAAAACCGGGACTAAAAACGATTTGTAGTCCCAGTTTATAAGCGTAACAGGACTAGATGATCTTTATTCCCGGTTGGGGTTACCAACCGGGACTAAAGATCATCTTTAATCCCGGTTGTCTATATGTCAGACCATGTCAGGCGGCTAGGATCACCAACCGGGACTAAAGATCTAACTTTATTCCCGGTTGGAGTTACTAACCGGGAATAAAAATCAACACGTACTATATAATCCCTATTACTTATCCTCTTTTCCCGTCCACGCAATGAACTCTTTCTCTCTCTTTTTTCCTCTCTAACTCCCTATCCTTATCCTTTCTTCTTCCTTCTTCCTTAGTTCTTCTTCTTCCTTAGCCCGCTTGGATCGGAGCGAGAGAGGCCAGCCGCTTGGAGCAAGAGCGGGCCGGGCGGTGGCCGGCGGCCGGTGCGGCGGCGCGGAGGGATAGGCGGCGGTGGCCGGCCGGCGCGGAGGGGAAGCCGGCGCGCAGCAGCGCGGAGGGCTGCGGCGGCAGCGCGGGGGCCGGCCGGCGCTAAGGGGAGGCGGCGCGGAGGCGGGCAGCGGTGCGGAGGGCCGCGGTGGCGGCGCGGCAGCGGGCGGCGTCGGGCAGCGCCGCGGGGGCCAGCCGGCACGGAGGGGAGGTGGCGTGGCGGCGCGGCGGCGGGCGGGCGGCGTGGCGGTGGCCGGCCGGCTGGCGTGGAGGCTAGGCGGCAGCGGCCGGCAGGCTCCTCTGTTGTTTTTTTTTTCTTTTAAGAATTTGTGATTTATTGCAGCAACATATGATGAATTTGATTTGTGTCTGATGTGAATTTGTGATGTATTTGTGATGAATTTTATAGAAACTTGTGATGTAATTTGATTTGTGTGTAATTTTTTTTAGGATTTGTGATGTAATTTTTTAGAACTTTAAAATTTGTAATGTGGACTTGGGATCTTACTTCGATTTGGGATATGCATACCACCCATATTGGGGAGAAAATAAAAAAAGATATGCATACCACCCAGATTCGGGAGAAAATAAAAAAGGAAAAAAAAACCTGGCTATCCTATTTAGTCCCGGTTGGTAATAACAACCGGGACTAAAGATACCCTATCTTTAGTCCCGGTTGGTGTTACCAACCGAGACTAAATATCCATCTTTAGTCCCGGTTATTTCAACCGGGACTAAAGATGGGCATCTTTAGTCCCGGATTGCTACTCCCGGTTGGAAACCCGGGGCTAAAGGGGTTCCCAACAGGGAGTAAAAAGGGTTTCTCTACCAGTGTACTTAAACTTTTAAACTTGTAAGTACTACATGCTCTCCAAGAATTCTTATCAACCACAAGCAAAAACTCCATGTTTATAAAGGTGTGGTGATGATTAAATTAAAATATGATACATGTCAGTTTATGGTTACAATGAACCAGGCCTAAACGATCGGCAATTTTATATGGTGTAAATTTAGAAACAAATAGAGTGCACATATCCAACGGTAATTTCGAAAACAGTGGTGTGAAAGCGTCCCATTTTTTCTCTAGCCTAAAACAACCAACGTTTGTTTCCTATATAGGCACATCCATTCTCCTCGACTTATTGTTGTTATTGGAAATTAATTAATGTGTTTGAACATGCCTTGTCACAATATTTTCCAAGTTCACATTATAACACAAATTCAAGATATAAACGCAACTACAGAAGAATTATAACTTATATGGCATTTGGCCGGATTTAATGCATGCATTGGATTTATCCAGAATTTCATTCGAATGGGATAAAAAAAGAATTAGCAATGTGAATCCGTTCCACTTTCTATGCTACATATACCCCCAAGCCCTCATTAGCATGTACCACAGAAACACCATTACCTATACTTCTCGCTACTTCTGCTCACTAGTTACATTCTGTTACGTGATTATTAGCAATGGAGGCTGTGGAGGAGGTGGTCGTTCTCATCGTCGGTGCGGGGCCAGCAGGCCTGGCAACAGCAGCGTGCCTCGCACAGCGCCATGTGCCCTATGTCATTGTCGAGCGTGAGTCCTGCACCGCGTCGCTGTGGCGCCACCGTGCCTATGACCGACTCAAGCTGCACCTCGCCAAGGAGTTCTGTGAGCTGCCACACATGGCGTATCCTGTAGGCACGCCAACATACATCCCTAGGGATATGTTTGTGGAGTACCTAGATAGCTACACTGACCAGTTTGGGATACGACCAAGGTACCACACTGCTATCGAGTCAGCAATATATGATGGAGGTAAGAACCGTTGGGCTGTGCTAGCACGGGACACGGACACTAGTGTTGTGACAAGGCTCACCGCACAGTTCCTTGTCGTGGCCACTGGCGAGAACAGTGCGGCAAGCATTCCACCAGTTCCTGGTCTCACTAGGTTTGAGGGAGAAGCCATTCACTCGTCGGCTTACAAGTCTGGGAGAGCCTATACCGGGAAGAATGTGCTTGTGGTCGGTGCCGGGAATTCTGGCATGGAGATCGCCTATGATCTTGCCACGCATGGAGCCCACACCTCCATAGTTGTTCGTAGCCCGGTATGTACATCATATATATTTACTTATCTTGCATTACATTTCATGATGCATTCATACCTATGTTTCATGTTTGCTATAAAAGTAATGATAGAATACATTAATTCAGTTGTCGATTCATAAGTAGGATTTATTCATGTAGTACTTTATCTTTGTCTTTGGTACCACATACACATGTGGATAATATAAATGAAAAATGTGATTAACTCTAAATATTAATCCAATGTTGTCATGTTCTAACTTTCAAGCTAGAGACTTTTTCCTAATATGATGATTATCTAATGGTTACATATCAATCTAAATGCAGATACACATCATGACCAAAGAACTAATACGATTTGGGATGACAGTGGTCCAAAATCTAGGGCTAACAGTGACAACAGCGGATTCTCTTCTTGTGATGGCTGCAAATTTTTATTTTGGAGACTTGTCAAAACATGGTATTACGAGGCCTAAAATTGGTCCTCTTTTACTGAAATCACAAACTGGCCGGTCCGCCGTCATAGATGTAGGGACTGCAAGATTAATCAAAGGAGGAGTTATCAAAGTAATTATTCATCTATATTCTTCAGATATAAAATTAAGTTAGGGTTGCTAGTGAAGTTTCTGGCCTCAATTGATGTTGAAACTTTACACTATTTTTTTCATCTCTCTATTAGGTGTTCCAAGGAATATCGAAGATAAAAACAAATAGTATTGAATTTCATGGTGGGAAGCAAATTCCTTTTGATGCCATTGTATTTGCAACAGGCTACAAAAGCACAGTAAATACATGGCTAAAGGTACAAACATTATTGATACTAGTGAGAGACCCCACGCGTTGCTGCGGGACTTCCATATGATAGATAGAAAACGTTAGGTGTAACATGCATCTGACTGCTTGTATATACACGTAGATATTGTACATCACATCAACATTATGTGCAACTAATAGTTGTGATTTAAATACATCTTTCAACTCTTTTAAAAACAGAAAAATTCAATAATTGCTGGTTGGATTGGGTAATGTGTTTCCAAGTGTTATTGATTTTAGCCAGATCTTTAGAAAGAAAGATCGATGACATTCATCACTTCCATGCTTATAAAGTTAGGCCTTTCAGGCCTTCTAGAAAAAAAAATAGCAAGACATCCCCAACCCTTCATGTCATCTAGTTTCCATAGTATTAAATACATTGCCACATAAGCAAAAATCCTACGTGGCAAGAAAGTTAATGAGAAGAGAGGTAAAAATATGAACAAATCATTTCTCATGCAAGAAACCATCTCTACACAAGTACCAAGAATAAAAACAAGATGATAGGTGGATAAAAGGAGAGAGAAGAGAAGTGATTGGATGAGAATTTAATTTGAAGACACTATCCATTGTATACAAAGTTTCTACACATAGTGTCTATATGGTATAGTAAGTATGAAAACTACTTGATAGTTTCTGGGTTAGGGATGACCTAAGGTAGTGCTCCGTAAGGAACATTGAAAAAAAAAACATGAGCAAGATATATGTTTATGATATAAGCATTAAAAAATTGAAGTGTGTCAGATTATGGTTAGAAGAACAGAGAAACAAAAACACATAAAGAAGGGACAAAATAGTAGCATATGAGTATTTATTCGTGAGTAAAATTAAAACTGATTGGGATGGAGTAGAATAATTTACGCATCATATAAGGAGCAAACACGGTAGCCTGGCCTTGGCAGCGAACGAAAGATATCAAGAAAACCATTAGTGACAGCCCGTGATAGTAACTTCAGTAGAAAAACCAATGCCTCGCGAAATTAAAGTAGAAGAGGTCACCAGCTATCACCCGCCCCTCCCCTATACCTCCGTCGCTCCCTCCTCTCCCCCCTTCCTCCTCCTCCTTTTCTCTTCCTACTACACCATAAATATTTAAATTTAAATTTAGAATTGAAACGGGTATGTAAACTTTTGACTTATAAACTTTGGGTCTATAAAATAATATTTGAATTCAAATTCAAATTTGAATCGGGTATGTAAACTTTTGACTTATAAACTTTGGGTCTATAAACTTTAGGTGTATAAACTTTAGATGTATCTAAATACTATATATAAAAAAATATTTGAATTCAAATTCAAATTTGAATCGGATATATTTCAAATTCAAATTTGAATCGGGTATATAAACTTTTGATTTATAAACTTTGGGTCTATAAACTTTAGGTTTATAAACTTTAGATGTATAGAAATACTATATATAAAAAAATATTTGAATTTAAAATTAAATTTGAATCGGATATATAAACTTTTGATTTATAAACTTTGAGTCTCTAAACTTTAGATGTGTAAAATTGAGGTGTACAAACTTTAGGCGCATAAATTTACTAAAATAAAAAAGTAATACCGTGACAAAAAAAAGAAACCAGTTAGAGGGAGGGAGAATCTGCGAGCGATCGCTAGGTAGCATTTCCGGGTAGCAACGGGTTTCACGATGAATTGGTTCTACGATGGCTAAGACATTTTATATATTATGGACATAAATATAAATGAGGACATCAAAAGGGGAGATGAAAGGAAAAGTCACGCAAAAAATTTAATTGATGAATATGTGTAACGGTTCATTTTATTGGTAGGGTAATTAAGGCATAAACTTGATTAAGATAAATGTTAGGAAGGCCAAGGAATGCCATTACCTCCATACAAAGTTTAATTAGCACAAGGCCGGCTAAAATTATTTTATTGCAAACTTAATAGATTGGTATATATCTGCTACTGTGTATGTCGAGGTGGACGATAATGATGAATTAATTGGGAGAGGTTTAATTAGGTGGAGATTGGAGATCTAGAACAGATACAATAGCAGCCTATAAGCCAGCTGAAATGTATTTTAAAAAGATAAATGAGAAGAGAGAAGAGGAGCGGGCTACAGATTTGTAGCCAGCTATAACACGGACTCTAAGACACAGTGTGTGTATAATAAATGGGACCAGATATTAATATTGTAGTATATAATTATTGTATGAATGAGCTATTAGATTGAGTATAGATGAATTGGATCTAGTAGTTGGCTATACTATTAAACTTGCTCTAAATGGAATTAAGGATGACCTCTGATCTTCACATTAGTGATTAGTGATGACGTTTTTTTTGTGCGTAAGTCCTCTTTTAAGTGGCTTTCATGATGCGACTGGATTTTAGTAACGGGCCGACGACGGGAACCTGTTTATTTGTTTATTTGGGGCTGATTGGCGTAGATGGTAGCGCCATGTGCAGTTGATTTAAGATCTAACAGTTTCAGCTAATTGGGATGACGTGGCTAATTCTTAAAGCAGTTTTATAGCTAGTAGGTATCAACTGTATATAGGAAGAAGGGATTTCTTTTTTTTTTCATTTCTCTTTAATTACATATATAATGATATGTTGTTGTAGCGCATAATATATTTTTTCCATTATTACAAAAAGGATAATCCTTTTTTATCTGCTGCAGAATGGTGAAAGCATGTTTAAAGATGATGGTTTCCCTAAGAAATTCTTTCCAAATCATTGGAAAGGTGAAAATGGACTATATTGTGCTGGGTTTGCAAGGAGAGGATTGGCCGGCATTGCCATGGATGCTAAGAATATTGCAGATCACATAGTGGCCACCATGGATCAAGTGTCTTGTTAAATTATATTATCTTTTATTGTGAATAAGCGTTACATTATCTTAGACATTATGTTAAGGCATGGCTATGTTTGGAGAGCTTGTGCTTGTGCAAAATCCAACTTTATTTGTAAAACTAGTTTAATGGGAAGCTATTGTTTACAACGGCTTGTCTCTTTATGTGGAGAAGTGTGCACTATGCATGGTTTTGAAGCCTCCAACAAAATCAGAATTTGCATGCTCAAACTTTTCATTTTCCTCCACATCACGCAATGTGAGGCCCTGGGATAATTTAGTCCAAATGAATCGTTAGTTTTTATATCATCAGAAACCATTATACAAACAACACGAGTAAATCATAGTCCTCATTTCCTTTGTAGTTTAAGACATATAGTACTAAATGCTCTCCAAGAATTCTTATCTAACCACAAGCCAAAACTCTATGTTTATTTAGGTGCAGTGGATGATGATTAAATTAAAATAGGATATATATGTCAGTTTGTGGTTGCAATGCAAACCGAGCCTACATGATCGGCAATTTTTTATGTGTGCAAATTTTGAAAACATATAGACTCTACATTTATATACAACGGTAATTTCAGAAATAATGATGTGAAAGCATTCCATTTTTTTCCGTCTAGCCTAAAACAAGCAATGTTTGTTGCCTATATAGGCATATGTCCGATCTCATTGGCTTACTGCTGTAAATGGAAATGAATTAATGTGCTTGAACATGCCTCTTCCCTATATTTTCCAAATTAACATTATAACACAATTTCCAAATATAAACACAACTATATTAGAATTATAATTATATGGTATTTGGCAGCATTTAATAAATGCAGTGGGGATTATAGTAGCGTAGATTGGATATGAACCGCTACTTAGTATCAGGTATGAGATTTACTCCGGTCCAACGAAAAGTATCTCAGGGTACCGATACCTTATGGTACTAAATCGTTTCCGATCGTTGGATTTAGCTAGTCATGAGATAGGTGTTGTTAGATCTAATGATCGGAAACAATTTGGTACCGTGAGGTACCCGGTACCTTGAAGTATTTTTTGTTGGACCGAAGCAAATCTCATCATGTATATATAGTACGGTGTACTGTAAAGGAACGAGTGTTGACATGATGGACTATTTTTTTGTTAATGCATGAACATAAATATAATAAGATTAATTAATCAAAACAAGCATGATTACACTTTCACAGAAAGAGTTCAATTATAAAGTTGCGGAAGCACCATTGGCATGTTTCGCGGAAGCACCATTGGCATGTTTCTAAGTTCTGGTTTTTATGTGTCAAGGGAATTAGTTCAAATTGTGGTGCTCATAATTACGCACATATGCTTCAGTAGAGTTTTGTGCAAATTTATCCCTATCCTTCGTATGTTCATCTTGCTAGCTTAACGAAGGCAAATTCAGGGTGAGTGCATATATGTCGGTGTACTTATGTACGTCGTTCTTCACTTAATTTGTGAAAGAGAAAAATATGGATAAGCCATACCATTGCTCGCGTTGTTCATTATTCTGGTGATCTTCTTGATCAATCCAAGCGCAAACTCTATGTTCACTAAGTTGGATGATGAATATTTCGTTCAACTACGGATATTTGATCAAACTATCATGAAACTACATATAAGATGTTGTAGCATAAAACTATAAATTTAAGTTGTTGTAGCACAAAACTACAGATTTAACATTAAATTTATTAGAAAACTATAAATTTAAGCTAAATATCATAAAACAACATATTTAATAATAAAATTAGTACAAAATCACAGATTTTAGATCTTAAATCCTTAGTAACAATATTAAGTTTGAGTTGTAAAGGTCTTACGTATTTTTAATTAAATTGGAGCTAAACATATAGTTTAGTTTTGTGATACTCCTTCCATGATAAACTACTAAAGTTGCCCGTGCATTGCAACGGGATAAATTCTTATTATGAAGAAATATAATTATAACAAAATTGTTTCATACCATTGAAAGTTCATAACTTTTGTGTTATACTATTGAAAGTTCGTGGTGTAGATTAACAACGTCTAAAGCGGCGAGAATTTTGATTACAGTAAACTAATTTTCCGTATTATTTATGAGGGAAATTTGTATTATTTTACCACTTTTAAGAATGAAACCTTTCCAAACCGTCATTCTTAGTTCTTAGAAAATTGCTATAGGAGAGAGAAAATGTTTTTAACTATTTGCTACTTTTGCTAACGTGACACGTCAACTCACACCGCCAGCACAGGTGAAGAGCGTGAATGTCCATTTTACCCCCTTGTGGGCCCCAACAATTATTTAGAGAGAGGCATCTTGGCTTGCCGATGGCGTCGACCTGCCGATGTACATTACATCAGCTCAATGTTACACCTACATGCTGGGCTGCTATCAGATAGGCCACAACAGATTGTCACATACGATGGGCCAGCCTAATTAGGCCCAAGCCTGGGTGCAAATGTGCTATAATTATTCATGATGTATTAATTTGGAACAATATATCCTATATGCAATGGACTGTAACATAACATGAATGCCCATCTCATCTCATCATTAGTTAGTAGAGATATATGATCTCAGAAACAAATATGTAGTTAGTACTTATAGAGTTTCACTAATTAAGAGGAAAAGGCATGTATAAGAAACACATATGTAGTTAGGATAAGAAGGGCCTATAAAGAATTGCAATAGTTAAATATGCCTTCTTGCCGATACTACAGAGCTAGATATAGCCTCATAGCCACAGTACCTCTATCTTGGGCCGGGCTTATGTAGGCCTAAGAGAAAACAAGTGATGTGGTTTAATAAGCTGAAATTTTGAACAATACATGCATGTTGGATTCATAGACTGAATAAGCTCCAATTTGAAGCCTTCCGATGGCTATTTAGGAGCTAAAATGTGGTAAATTCTGCTGACCCGTTGCCGTATACTTCATTTTTTTTCCCAATATACGACGTATATTCATTTTGAAACATTTTGGGAGTAAGGGTACACAGGAATATATACAGCGCGGTACTAGCTAGTTCACTACTTCACTCTGCATATTTGTTTGTGCATGACCCCTTCAAGTTTGTATGTAAGTTATGAATTTATGATTCATCCTAAAAGATTGGATTATATATATTTTTTTCAACTGGATATAATATAATAAAGATCAACGCTTTTTAAAAAATTTTAGAGGAAACAATAGCTGGCTAGAATATTGTACTGTGTCCTACTCCGGTGCTTTCTACTCGGAGTAGAAAGTAATCTAGGCCCTTGATCATATTTAATTATAGGATTAAGATCTAGTTCTACTCCTATCAGAATTAGTGGAAGTAGAAATGTGGAGGGGTGTTTTTGTCCAGGAAAAATAATTCGCGAAGGGGTATTATTGTTTTCCGATCCATAGATCGATCAGCATGTCATCCTCATCGGAGTTGGTCGTGCAAGATCTTAATCGATCCATGTAATCCATGAAACAACACAGTGATCGGAAACGGCAAGAAGACGAATGAGCCGAGATGCCGCCGCCAAGCAAATGACATTGCGTGCGTGCGTGACGCTGCCGCCGAAGCCCAGGCCGGAATTTTTACTACCGCCAGAACACCTGCTCAAGATCGTCGCTCGCTCGGACGCCACCACACTCGTCCGCTCCCAGACGGACGATGCGACTGAGGAAGCGGACAAGGCGGTGATGGCGGGGAATACGGATGGCGACGGAGGGGGCGGACAAGGCGGCGAGGCCGGGGGAGGAATAGCGAGGTGACTGCGTGCAACGGAGTTCGGACCTGATACGATGCGAACAGAAGAAAACATCCCATGCCAAAATTACCCCTAAACGATATTAGGAGATTACTTACCTGTCCTTTAAAATAAACAGTCAAGATTAATTCTACTTGGAGTAGAATACTGCAAGTAGATTGCACCGGAGCATTACTCATGTTTTTTTATGTTTCAGTTTAGGATGCAATTTTGCACTCCCAGAGATATATACATATATATTTTATTATAGTTATTACTGAATTTAGTGCGTTGGAAGAGTTTGTCTGCCTCCCCTCTCTCAACAGAAAATGTCTATTTGTCTGCGAGGATGAACTAGTAATGTCGTTGCCACATATAGTTTGGTCGGCTTTAAATCTGTTTCTGTAGTGGCTGATTAAGACTTAATTAGGAGTCAATAAACATTATTTCGAAGTTCATATATGTTCATCCCTATCTACTCACTAGTCACTACATATAAAGTTTGCTTCATGGACCATCATGTTTCCACACAAGTAATAAATACTTTGCCTTCATCAACACACAACTAGCCAGTAGTATTTCTTTTTCCGAAATAAGATTTTTATTTTATAGCCAAAAATAAGGTCTTAACACTCCTTGGTCTGCATTCTACTAGTCCATAACTAATTAGATATTTAGCACTTTAATAGCAAAAGAAAAAATATCCCTTTTTTTGCTCATTATATATATGTACATTAATTTGAAATTCTTAATATTCCATGAGAGTTACCAGGCACCGATACATTATATATATAATTAATTAAAGCATGTCAACACTCCACTTTTGATTGGTTATTTTTTCAAGATATATACAAACCCAAGGTTTCAGTATACACCAAATCCCAACTACCATCCTAACAGATGTCATTTTTTTTCACCAAATGTATTCATGGTCGCTGTTGACTTGGATGTATATAAATTACGCATTCTGTTAATTAGGGCCATATGCATATCTGAGATGACAGTTACACATCTGATATGCCCAATGTTTTAACCAACATGTTTAGTTAAACATTCTTCCTGAGATACAAAATAATTGAACCCAGTTGTATATATATTACTTGTCTGATCTATAGCTCTCTCCTTTGCTTGCAGTAACCAAAAAACATGCAGTATACTATATGTGTTAAAAATGGCAAGGAGTTGCAACAACCTGAATATAATTGTCAAAGAATTGAAGATGATTACTCTTTCAGATTTGAGCTCTCTGCACGAATGTTTGGTCACTTGTACTTTTACTCGAAACAGGTAGCAAGAAACAAACAGAAATGGCAGGCGACTAATTATGCATCATAAGTTAAACCGGAGGTTGGACGAATTTACTTCTTAAATTAAACTTGTCGGGTGAAAGTATTTTTGGGGAGCTAGCTAGCTAGCTGTTTGTTGTGTTCAAATAATTGCATGCGTCTCATGACATGACTTCATACCATTTCGCTTCCAAAATAAATAAAGAAATTAAATACTACTACTCAAAGGATAATGAACACAGTAGTGCATGTTTTAATTTAGTATCGTCCAAAGCTGAATTTAGTTTTGATTGGATTAACATCACAGTACCCATGTAAGTTGTACCAGCAGTGTGGAAGGCCTTCCGGGTTTAACATATTCTGAATCTTTCTAGAGACTAGCTCGCTAGAACACGAAATGGAGATTAACACATCATGCCCATGTATGTACTAAGTTAATTTTCAGTGTTCTTAAGAGTTAAATTTTTACAGGATATATAGGTTGTAATTAATTATATGTTCATATTAACAATAATAATTTAGTTTCCTTACAAGAAAATAATAATTTGACTAATTTGTCGATCGATGATCGAAGCTTAATTACTGTTATGATGCCAATATCTACGATCATATCGAAAGCTTAATTACGGAGTTTCTTAGGACATTATTACTGATCAACAGAAGGAGATCTCGCATAATTGGAGTTGACAACACTCAAGAGATAAATTAAGAGAAACCTCAGAAAGAGAGAATATATATAACAGAGAGAAAAGCTCAACAATTTGTATCATGAGCAGCTAATTAATTAATCGATTCACCTCATATAGGAAATTGAATTTTTTAAAAAAACTTATTTGGCAAAGTTGTAAGGGGGGTTTCATTCATCCTCTCCTTAATCACTAGTGGCCATGCATGCATGTCCCTAGCTACCCTTTTTTCCTGATCTAGTGCATGCATGCAATTAAGATGCGACGCCTAATTAATTACGATTGATCATTAATTAACAACAAATATTAATCTCAGCTTCTTCTCTAACAACATATCCATTGGATAACACTATCGATCCATCTCCGGCTCGCCGCCGCCGGCGACGGCGGCTACACGCCGACGCCGAGGAAGTCGAAGTACGGCACGCCCTTCCGCTTGTCGCCGCCGCCGTCGACGTCGCCGTGGTTCTCATGGCCGCCGGCATCCATCAGTTCCAGCGTCTCTCTCATGGGAGTGGAGGAGAAGGTGATGGTGGACACAGGCTGCGCCGCCGCCGCCATGGACGTCGTCGCCGGCAGCAGCGTACCATAGCTCGTACCGTTAAACGACTTGATCAAGAACGGCGCCGCCGCCGGAGAAGAAGAAGACGACGACGACCTGTTGATCATGCCGAAGCCGAAGCATAGCGAGCTATTGCGCGCGCCTGATGACGCACCGCCGCCGCTGAAGTCGAGCTGGCTGGCGTAGGAGGAGAACGGCGGCGGGTGGGCGGCGGCGGCGGCGGCGCGGGCGAGGAGGCGGGAGCGCTCGCGGGAGCGGCGGGCGCGGACGACGTGCCAGTGGTTCTTGACGGCGTTGTCGGTGCGGCCGGGGAAGTGGCGGGCGATGAGGGCCCACTTGTTGCCGTGGTGGCGGTGCGCCGCCAGCAGCCGCTCCTCCTCCTCCTCCGTGAAGGGCCGCTTGTTGATCCGCGGGTCCAGCTGGTTGAACCACCGGAGACGACAGCTCTTCCCTGCAGCCAAATATATTTATTACAATTTATTATTATTATTCTCCAATTAAATTCAGCACAGTTATTAGTATTTATTATTACTGCTATTACTAGTAGTTTTTTTAATATATAACGCTGATGATTTTTTATATGTGTGATCATTTGTTTTATTAAAAAGTTAAACTTGATTTATTATTATAGGTTCTTTAAGCATTTAGTCCGAAAATGTTTGTTTAAGCGCGAGTTATGATTTTTCATGTTTGTATAAAAATTACATTGTTTTTCATTTTAATCGAGCACAATTATTTATTATTATACTACCTCCCTTCGTTTTTTAATATATAGCGCTAGTGATATTTTTATATGTTTGATCATTTGTGTTTATCAGTTTTTTTATTATAACTCATTAAAGGTCCTTTGAGCATTCAGTCGGAAAAAAATTAAAGTTTGTTTAAGCATGCGATATGCTTTTTAATATGTTTGTATAAAAGTTTTGAATAAAACGAATGATTAAACATCTATTAAAAGGTGAATAGCGTCTTATATTAAAAAAGATAATAACTAATTGGTCAATAATAATAATAATAATAATAATAATAATAATAATAATAATAATAATAATAATAATAATTTGTTTTTACAATAATTAACAGGTGATAAAGAAATAAATATGTTGACTCTGCTTGGAGAATCACATAGCAATGTTTGCAAATGATAAATATATGGTCAACTTGGCTTATATTCTGATGGCATGGTGGAGATTAATTAGGGAAAAGCATGTGTACGTGTAGGTGATCAACTCTTGACACACACATGCATGCATGGTTGGGTCGTATGAACTACCGAGCGCATGCTCATGCTCATGCATGCAAGCGTGTTCATTTCTTCTTTTTATTATGTTGTTTTTTGTTATTTAATTTTTTACTACTATGTATTTAATTAACTGTTGTTAATTTTCAAATCAATAAATTAATAGTATAGTTAAAAAAAATCTCTGAAAGACGTTTTGGGTTAACTAATTTGATTTTGAAGATGGAAATGAAACAAACGGACATCATAATTCCAAACGTGACGAAGTTTGTTCTAGTATCCCTGGACATGCATAACCAGTTTGATAATAACATTACTTATAAATCGATGAAAGAGGATCCCAAAACAAGGAAAGAGGAATCACAACAAAGATAAGTAATAAGCTTGATCGGAAAATTGAAACAGCTAGAATACATGCAAAACTTCCAACATTAATTAGTAATTCAGATTAGACAGACGATCAAATTAAATGGCCAGCTGGCCTTTAGTAATTACTGGAAAATATTATCCTTTTGATAAAATATGGTTGCGGTCTTTTTTGGGAGTAGTATAAATGGAAGAAATTAACCCTCAGCTCTAATTAACCAGACAACTGTATTCCTCTATCTCCAAGATAAATACGAAAAATAATTAATTAGAAAAACTGAAGCGCTCGCTCATAAATATATACAAGATTAATACAAAGAACCGTATGGGGAGCATGGCTAATTTCTTTCAAAAGGTTAGATTAAAGTATATGCATCACAGAAATTTTGCTTACAAACTAACACACAAGCATGATTGGAGGCAAATCAAGAAAACTATTTTTTTGCACAACTCTCTCCGATTAAATGAACAAATTAACAACAATTAATACACCCACAAAAAATAACATATGCCAACCATAGCATCCAAGATTTCGATCCGATTCAAACCAAACAGGCATGTACATATGCCCCCAAAATTTTGAACACAAAATTAAATATAATCCCCATCTACCAATTTCTAGACAAAAGAAATATAAATCCTCATCTTCTCTCCATGAGAAAGAACCAAAGAACAACGAACCAAATAAATCTAGGTAGATGAACTAGACCTATAGCATTAATTTCTTTGCAACTATATATCTAGCACCAGAAATGAAACAAACTAATCAACACCATCAAAGAAAAATTAACCATCACCAAATTAAGAGATAAAAAAAATCAAAATCAATCAACACACAACTATAGTTTAACCAACAACACCAACCTGATCTGCCCTCCAGCTTCTCGGCGATGGAGTTCCAGTTCTGAGGGCCGTACTTCTCCACCAGCTGCCGGAGCTTCTCGTCTTCCCCGGGCCGCCAGTGGCCTCTCGGGCACGCCGACGACGACGACGACGCCGGCTTCCCGGCGCCGTCCGACGTGTTCGTCGTCGACGACGACGCCATGATCCTTCACCTAGCTAGAGATCGAATCGATCGAGTAGAAATCAAGCAAAACTTGACTATAACTTGCTAGCTAGCTATCTTGCATATCTATCTTTGTTTTTCAGATCCCAAAATGATTTTCTCTTGATAAGTGAGAGGAGAGGAGGAGAGAGGGGATTTTTCTTGGGCTAATTATTAGCTAGCTTAAGTAAGTAGAATTAGAGGGGAAATGGGAGATTGAGTGAGGGAGAAGGGGTATGGGTAGTGTTAGGATACCCATACCCATATATATATACAAGAGAGAGACACACACATGTTTGGGGTAGCTAGTTAGGGTTTGGATGATAGGTCCCTCTTTAGTTTAGTTTAGCATGACAAGAAGGTTTGGGCAGCTTAATTGCACCCTAATCAAAATAACTAGCATATAATTGTATGGCACTACCTATATCTCTTTCTTTCTAATCTACATTCTATATATAAGTGTATGTATGTGTGTGTGTGTTGTTAATTAAGTATATCTATATATATCGCTCTCACCAACTTGGATTACCTGTTTGGCTATTCGCTGAAGACCACTGCTCTCACAGCTCCCATCAAACACAAACCAATCCCTTGATTACTTCTGCCTTGTACTTCCTCTCTAACTTCTCCAACAATATTCTCTCTCTATGCATGCAGCAGGAGACATCATCATCGAAATATTGTTAATTAACAACAAATTAATTAAAGATGTTATCTAACCATGCTCGTGTGTTGTTTACGTCTTTGTGCATCTAGGGAGAAAACGAAATCGTCTCTCCGTGGACATGTATAAGTAATGATCATTGGTAATATGTCTGAAAGAAACATTTCTACGCATCAGATTTTCTTATTTTATATATATATATATATATATATATATATATATATATATATATATATATATATATATATATATATATATATAAGATGAAATGTATGGTCAGTGATCAACATATATATATGGCACGCAAATTTAAAATATTCATCTGTTGATAAAATTTTACACTACAAATGTATGCATATATATAAATCTATATATCACATTACAAACAGAAGGACACAAGGAGGTGTATATTAATTGCAATTATTATTTCAATGCAAATGTACTTTGATCTTACCTCTGTGCAACTGCGTGGGAAATTCTATTAGATTAGTTAAATATTACTCAAAACTATACCTCCAAATGAACCTAAGTCTATATATATAAATCTGCGTAACTGCACAGGAAATTCAACAAGATTAATTAATTAATTGTTGATCAGATTTGTAAAGTTTTTTTTACCTCGCTGCAGCTTTTGTTTTTTCCTTTTTCTACCTCCTGGCATAGGCTTGTCTGGACGAGTGCCTTGCATAACAAAAAAAACTCTTTTCCTTCTAATATATTGGCATGCAATCATTTTGCGTGTTCGCGGAAAGATTTTCAATTTTTTTAGATCATTCTTACCCTGTGTACTTTCAAATACAATCAGTCTCTTCATTTGCAAAGATATATCAAATAGAAACAAGACCTATATACTTTCAAATGAACTTCAATTAGCTCTCCACGATTAAATTGTGCGGGACGGATTGCGACAACCTATGTTCGATTAATTGTTGGTACTCTCACACAACTTGTAAAGCTCTAAATACATGCTTATTGTCCATGTCAAAAAAAAACATGCTTATTGCATTGTATATATACTGCAAATGCAAATCGATGATCATCTCTTGAATTCGTCGCAAAAGTTTGTTATGGTCAACATCTATGAGCCCATACATTCCCACAGGAGGTAAACCGTTCGAGCTCTGCCATTACAGCCACCCAACAGAAGCAGAAACCCTAGTAATGGCCAATGAGGCAGCGTACACAGAGGGGTGGTTGGCTTGGCTGCATATACATATCCTGATCGATCGAAAAGCCCAAATTTGCAGTCTTTTCAGCATGGGATGCACCGCAGAAACAAGGGATGCATTCAATCTTCCATGCTGCTCTGTTCATTGTGTTTGGGAGATTTGGAGCAACACATGCATGTACAAGGGATGTGATCAGAGAGCAGTTAGTTGGCAGTGTGATATATGTGTATATTTATGCACTGGCTGCATTGTAATTGATGAGCTTGATGTACACATGTAACTACATGTGTGTGTCTATATATATATATATATATATATATATATATATATCGTGTATATATACCCTTTCTCGTGGTTTCATAAAATCTCTCTATAATTTTTTTAAAAAATAAGTATATAATAACATATGTACTGCACAAAAGATATACCATTTAATTTCATTTTTATGAGCTTAATATAGGGTCATTTTGAGGTTATTTAATTGCTTGAGCATGCCCTCTTTGTATAATTTGCATTTAATTTGTCTGCAGCTGTTCTCAACATTGTCATCCAAGGTGGTAACTGATTGATCTATATCATGGGATTCCATACTTGATTCCCAAACAGATGTCCTCATAATAATTCTTGTCACTTTGTTTAGTTTTAGAGAGGCATGCACATGTTTATATGCAACCAAAAACAGGAAGCTGTTTAGGCTAAGTAATGAGCCACAACCAAAAGTCTGTTCCAAAAGGACAAGTAGGGCCCAGGAACAATGGACAAAATCTACAAGACAAAAGCAAATGGAGGAAATTTGATGCAACCAATATTCAAAAAATACAAGAAATCTAAATTTGCAGTATGTATACATAATCCGTGTTTCTTCATTTTCATTCTGTAAAAAGTAATTTTGCTAGCTCTTGCTAAATAGACCTTCGAAGGAAATGTTGACAACAGTTGAATTTTCAAAACTATTTAAGCCACCAAGGAATATCATAATTTCTCTGGTTATCAAATTAGCTTATCTATAAGATTGACAATGATATCTACCATCACATTCCTGGAAGCAACCAATCAGCCAAATCAGTTGCATTGGTTTAGCATAAATGGGCATCCAAATTAACATAGCATCTGAATTTTCAAGTCAAAGCAGTTTCACCTGTGAGATACTGATGTTGAAAAGAGACCAAGACCTATTAACAACGAATTGTATATGATTTCTGGTCCCCGATTCCGTTCAAGAAAACATGAAAACGCACTCGCAACAGCCGGTAATATATGAGCAATAATTTAGTACATAATAATCAAAGTTAGTTTTGTCATTCTGACTTGGCATATGTTAATGGTGTAGCTTTACCTTGTTGCCTTGGAATTGGTTTTGGTTCCTGGAAAGTTTGTTAGTGATGTATCAAAAGGGTGTAGATGCAAAGAAAAAAGTCGGAAAGCTATCTCTCTGGATCAATGTAGTATAGAAGAAGTTTTTGCTTGGTAAAAGATTGTGAGCTTTGACAAAATAACCACCACACAATTGAAGAGATTAATGTAGACCCTACAATTAGTTAAATAAAAGTCATATTCACATATATGTATATCCATTCGAACAACCATTGTTTCTTCAGGAAGGTGTTTGTAATAATAAGGATTGTTTTGTCCTCAGCAGATGCATGTTATGGCATGGTTATCCTTGAGAATTAACCAAAAGTATCCTAACTTTGCAAGATTGAACATTATTAATATGGTATGTACATATATATCTACAGTGGTTTGTATATGCAAGCAACATTTTGCACTTTATATATTAGCTAACCATTAATTATCTAAAAAATTAGCTGGCCATGCTACTAATTTCAGCCATAATTGAATATTATTTGTCCATATTATGAGCCTACATACATATATATATATATATATATATATATATATATATATATATATATATATATATACCCCCTCTATAAAAAAAGTCCAAGGCATATTTCTTTTTGCCACCAAGACTAAGAAGAAATTAACCATGTAACAAAGACTAAGAAACTATATACATGTATGTAACCAATTAGTATTAAGATAGTTGCTCGGGTTTCGATTAACAATTTAATCTAGCATTGCAAAATATAAATGCAATATCTCCATTTAAGTTTTGGATGCACGAAGAGACTACAAATATGTGACCATCTTATTTATAAAAAAAAACAGAAAATATTTATGACTTTTGGATGGATAAAGTATTGCTAGATACAAATTAGTAAAAATATTATCCATCATCTAGAATAATAGCATGTGTAATTTAGGAATACTAACATGAACATTCGTCTACAAATTGTGATCGTCAAACGGCACATTGACTCGATCAGCAGGTTGGTTTAAGTTGAAAGAACTAATTAACACACGTATGCTGCAAGCTCAATTAGGGTTCCATGATGACGTAGGTGTTAGAAAACATTAGCTAGTGTGCATGCACGGTTGGATCAATCGGTTAATGTCCAAAAGGCATGAGATTTATTTCCAGCACTGACAGGGACTTGCAACCAATCCTAAGAAGAGATGGGAATGACAAGAAAACGAACTCCTCAAAACTACATGCTTTCGTATTCATCCTTAACAAGCTAAGCATAAGCTATTCGATCTGTCCCAACTACCGAGAGATTAGGATGCTTAAGAAAATAAAGATTAATTATAACCATGCATGATTAAGTATAGAACAGCTGATTTATTTTTACTCCTCATTAGTGTAAATATGTGGGCATTAGCTAGTAAGATTGGGTTGCTAGCTTAAGCTTCTTGGTAGCAATTGAGCTCATTGGATGGATGATTAATCAATCAGATAAGCTAACTGACTAGAGTTAAAACATGTGTCTGAACATTTCATCTCTTTTGTGTAGTTAGTCGTATATGGCTGGCCTGAGTAATTAATAGTCCTGACCAGGTCAGATGCAGTACAACACAGCTACACCTGAAATTAAACACATTTTGTGAACGTGTTTATAATTATGAACTTGCACGTGCATGTTGAAAATCTAGCATATATAATAGCATGAACTGTTAAGAAAGTGCAAGAAAAACATGAATTATATATATATTCTCTCTCATGGGCTCGTGTTATGTTACCGTGTCAAGTATTTATTGATGGTTTTCGCGTAATCTTCACTAGCTTGATCAAATCAACTATGATGATTACAATATAACCTACCATTTTGTACCATATGCATGACTTACTTAACCATGCTTAATTGGTTCATGAACTAGCAAATTACTACTTTAATTTGTCCTGGTAAATTATCAACAAATTTTAGTCCTTGGTTGGTTAGTTTGTCCTGGCTAGCACTTGGTGTAAACAGGCAAAATAATGGAATAAAGAAATGGGCTTTTAGTAGATTTGGTGGCTATAGCATTGACAGAATCACTCAAGTGACTACTAAATATACTTAGTTTACTTCTAGAGGAAGTTGTTTATCCAAACTGTACGTACGTATGTCTTGCTCCAGTCACAATACATTAATAATTAATACACAGCATTAACTGTTTTTTGTCTTGAAACTTCAGGAACAATTCCCTTCTCATCACCAAATTTTCATAATTCATATTTATGTCATTAGCTTAACTGTTTTCTTA